TGACACATAGTTGCTGCACTGTTAGAATGTGTTGAGTAAATGAATGAGAATTCCAACACTCCATTATAACAGGAAGGGTCTTTTGATTATTTCTATCTTTACTCTGAACAGTTTTTAATACTTCTCTAAGCTCGAAATAAATGTTCCCTTTTGATTTGCAAAATCAAATCCATGTTCCCTTTTAAGTCATAATCTAAAAGCTCTAGTCCAAGAAAGCTGCTACTACCCATTATATTTTACTAGAAAAAGGCCTCCTCCCAGGTCTCTTTTAAACTGCGGTCCCCGAGTGGAGATTCTGGGACAATCTGATAGTCTAAGATACTCTTTGGTTGCTTTTTCCCTCTTTCTTTCCAAGGGTTGGGGTGGGGGGGAATGATGTTCTGCTCAGTCTCTGGAGTTGGGAGAGATTTCCTCTCCTCTCACCTGTCTGCCTTAGAGACTTTCCTTCCCTTGACTTCTCCCCTACCTTCCATTCTTTAAAACATGTTCACTTTGGGGAACCAGTTCTCAATTATTTACCCCACGATCTCCTGGGAGCTACAAGAATCCAGGGCAAAGCTAGAGGAAAAGGCCAAAAGTAAACGGAAAGTAATTTTTGTTGTTACCAAGCTGTGTTCTGTTTAGGTTGTAATTCTGTAGAGCATGTGCTGGGCTCAGTCTTCCTCATGCCTGTATGGGATGTGATGGGGCCACTATAATTTCTTTCCCTAATGAAAGCACGGTAAATCCAAGCAGTATAATAATGCTGGTGGTTAGAGCCAATAGGAAGAGGAGACCAAAGCCCCAGGAGAGAAGTTAACTTGGAACTTGAAACAATCCTTGTGGCCTGTCTCAGAGTCACACTAACCAGGTTTGTGTGTGATATTTTCATTATCTAATTATAAGATCTTACTTCTTACCCTGATCCCACAATTTAAAATTCTTTTTTCTGTTTTATTTTCTTCTCACCTTCTTCTCATATACTACAGACTTCACTTAGTATTATGATTAACATTTGACATCCCTAGAATTTTTGTCTGTTTTGTTTGTTATTCATTCAGGGTCTGGATGTGTCAGAAGTATCCCAGCACAGAGTAGATGTACAATAAATATCTGTTGAATAAATGAATTATTAATCCTAAGGAAAGCAACATTAAAAACTGTAACTAAGATCAGATTTTTCTTACATGTATTGAACATAAAGGTAAATGAACATTAAAAATTATTTTATAGAAATCTTCTAATTGGACAAAATGCACCTATGATAGCAGGAACTTTCCAAAAGCTTTGATGGTCAAAACCCACAGGGGACCCACTTTAGTCAGCATGGTACGGGCTTCAAAAATATATCTATGGAAGGACAAAGGACAAGCTTGTGCTGAGGAGAATGAAAATCCTTGAGGTTTCCTGATGCAGGCAGCCTTGAACCCCTTGAGCTGAGGGTATGGTTTGGCTTGGTGTACTCGGAACTGGGTGGCAGCAAGGTCAAATGTGGCTTGTCACACCCATGAAACTCTGAGACTCCTGAGTTTCTATTTCCATTTCTGGACAAAGTGTTATTATTCAGTTTCATGATTCTTAGTATAGGATCCGGTAGCTCATGGGAACTCAAAACAAAAGATGAACAGAGGAAGGCATTCATTGTTTGGGAGTGTCTCTGCATTTGAGGTTGTCACGAACACAGCAGGTGCCTTCCAAGAAGGACATGGCAGTGTTCACTGAGGACCCCAGTGGCTGTTCTGGCTCTTCTTTTCCCTAAAAGCAAGATTTTGGCTTTTAGGGCCAATCTGGTGTTGGCTAAACTGGGTTAATCTGAACAGAAGACAGAGATGCTTTTGGCTGAGATTCAGGTACCTCCCTCTCTCACCCAGTGTGGGCCAAACAAATGCAACCACTGGCCTGAAGAACTGGTGGAAGACTAGACTTACGCAGAAGCAGGAGGAACAACTGGCCTCACAAGGTCTGGGGATGTGCTGAGTGGATGGAGCCCGGAAGGTACGGTATTGCAAGGATATTCACTGAAGGACTATACTGACGACATTCAAATGATTTCTAAGTGGAAAAACAAAACTTGGGCAGGTATGTAAACGTACATGAGTCACTGGGCTAGCTGAGTTACTTGTGCCACTCTTAATTACTTCGTGTATTTCAACGTGGCCCTTGAGAAAAAAAGCCTCATAAAAACTGTTCACCTAGTTCTCGACCCAATTGTTCTTTTAGTACTTTGAATAATTTTGTTGAAAACAGCTTTATTGAGATAAAATTCCATACAATTCACCTGCTTGAAGTGCAAAATTGAGTGGTTTTTAATGTATTCATACGTATGCAAACATTATGATCGTTACTTTTAGGCCATTTGCATCACACACTCCCCCCCATACACTGTGTCCCCGTCAGCAGTCACTCCCCATTTCTCTCCAACTTCACCTTTTATTCCAGCCCTAGGCGACAACTAATCTATACAAATTTGCCTACTGTGGACGTGTTACCTGAGTGGACTCACATACTACCTGGGCTTCTTTCGCTAAGCACAATCTTTTCAATGTCCGTCTAGATTGTAGACGCATCACTCCATCTGTTTTTATTACTGAATGATACTTAATTGTTCCTTTCCCCACCACATTTTATTTACCCATTCATCACTCTGTAGGCACTTGGGTTGTTTCCACGTTTTGGCTATTACGAGTAATAGCGCTGTGAACATTCATGTTCAAGTCCACTTTCCAATTCTCTCGAATATATGCCTACAAGTGAAATCGCTTGGCTACTTAGCAACTCCATGTTGAGGATTTCTTCCATTTTACATCCCTACTAGCAATATATTCTGGTTCCAGTCTCTGTGTGTGGATTCTAACACTCGGCATTATCCGTTTTCACAGTCACAGCCATTTTGGTGGGTATGAAGTTTGGATTTTCATTTCCTTAAAGCTACTAAAGCTACTTTTCATGTGCAAACTGGCATTGGTGCATCCTCTTTGGAAAGATATCTATCTTTGCCCACGTTAAAGTGGATTCTTTGAGTATTTGTTGTTGAGTTCATCTTTTGCCTTAAACTTCGTGGGGAGGTTGGAGAAAGAGAGTTTCATAACTCTCAGTTGCTTTTGCCTGACATAGAGCCTTGGCTGGGGGCATGAGAAATGCCGGTGGCCTACTTGTCCCAGGGATCTACTGTAGCCCTAGACTGGGATCTAGGTTGGGAGGGAGCTTTCCATTCTTGGTTGTTTCTACCCAGGGTAGAGAACTGACCAGCCAGAGTGAGTGAAACGCTACTGCACCCAGCTGGAGGGAAATGGGTTTGGCTTCCATACCAGAAACTCTTGCAGTTCTTACTGCAGTATAGAAGAATGTTTTGAATGAATATTTCTTCATTTGTTGTATTTCCTCAGGACAATTTCCAGGGGCTTTAAATGATTGTTTATTTGTAATTTTTACCAGCTAGTGTTGTTTTGTAACAAGTAGGTTCACAAACTCTCCACACCGCCATTCTGGAAATTGAGCCCCATTTGGACAATTTTTGATGAACATTTTGTTTCTTGTACACCTGGTGGTAAAATAGTTTATACTGATGTAGTGGATATAAAATTGGCTGTCGAATTATGGAGGACAATTTTTTATAAAAGTTATTGCAAATTTACAAATGAATTAAGCAAACCAATAAGGACGGAGGACGGGCTGACTTTCAACTTCATATCCAGATTCCCTAGAACGTCCATGCATTTGGTTTGACAAAATGTTCTTAATTTTCATTAAACATCTGTATAGAAATATCTGAATAATGAAAGTGACAATACATTTCCTGCTAGAGTTTGTTGTTTTTGGCCTACTTATCTATAAAGCCAACAGAGCCATTGAAACAGTCATTAAAATGATGGCTCTTCTTATAAGCATAGGAATAATTCAGAAGTGGGAATTAAAGTATTAGACTCTTAACAGTTTTATGGCTAAATTTTAAAGGTTCACTAGCGAAAACGATCATGTATTTCTTGATTTTTGTTTAACTCAAGATAACTATTGTACCACGCAGTCTAAGACTTAATTTAACCATTCTTAAAATTCTTTTCTTTTTTTATTTTATTTTTGAGACAGTCTCACCATGTCACCCTCAGTAGAGTACTTGGCGTTACAGCTCACAACAACCTCCAACTCGAGCTTAAGCGATTCTCTTGCCTCAGCCGCCTGAGTAGCTGGGACTATAGGCGCCAGCCGCGTCGTTGTTTAGCAGGCCCAGGCGTGGTTTGAACCCGCCAGCCGCAGTGTATGTGGCCAGCGCCCTATTCACCGAGTTACAGGGTTGCGAGACATCTTAAAATTCTTTATTTGATCAAGAGCTGAGCTCCCACATGAATTGACAACTAGTTGACTGTCACTTTAGTTGAAAGGCATGTAAAATCTCGCGTCCGATCTAAAACACAGTTCTCCATCCAGTTCCCACCTTCTCCACCCCCATGGCAAAGTTAACCAGACAGTCATTTCTCTTCAGGTGTAGAAGTTTGGTTACTTACAAATGATTACTAAAGCATCTTTGAGAAAATACACACTGCTTAATAATTAGGAGGAAATGTCAAAATGTATTTTTTTTGGTAGAAATTCTCCTATTTTTTTTTTTTTTTTTTTGCAATTGATTTGGGTGTGTACCCTTGCCTAAAGTAGCTTATGGGCAAAAAGTACTAAGAGCATGATGACACTAGATAAAGATGAACATTTAGGAAGGAAACCAAGCCCCTCTCACTGAATAGTTACCAATGAACTACTCAAAGGTAACCATTGCAAATAACTAGTCAAGTAAGTTTGTCTTCTTTTGGCTTGGAAAGTTTCAACGGTAAAGTCTGGCTACTGATGGGGGAAACATCTTAGTTTCCAATGTAGTAAAAAGTAAATGTAATTACAATTAAAATTATAATCCAGTTTTAAATGGTCAACTGCATTAGAAATCAATATTCATTTCCCCCCCTGTAAAGACGGGAATTCTAAACTACTAAAGCTGCTTTGCAGTTCAAGTGGACGTTCTGGAAGATGCTTACCTCCCGGTCGGCGTCTCTCCTGGCGGCTTAGGTGAGCCCTGGCGCTGTGGCTCCTCCCCGGCGGCCGCCAGCTCCCCTCTGCGCCCGCACCGCCGAGCCTCCAGGAGTTGGGTGTTCGGCCCCGCCCTCTGGACTATTGCTAAAACTCCAATTCTGGCAGAGCTATCCCGGTGATTAATTATTGACAAAAGGAAAACACTCCTACGCAAACTTGTGTCCAACCGCACGCTCCCAGCTACTCCTGGCAGAGGAGGACGCGGGCTGCACCACTCCCCTCCCCCCCGGCTCTACGGTCCCAAGTTCTCCTACGCGGCCACTCTCAGTCCTGGGCGACTGGGCTAGTGCTGGGAGCGATGCAGCTCGCAGGCTCCCACATTTTACAATTTGGTTTCCTGAATCTCCTCCGCACTTCCCCGGGGACCAGACTCTCGGCAGGGGCGCTTTCGGGATGCGGGGGACGCCTGGGCTCCGAGAGCAACAGAGCGGCTCAGGCGTCGCTGTCACCTCCGGCTGCTGCAGTAAACCCCGAGCCGAGGCGGGGAGGGGGAGGCGCCCTCCCCCGCGCTCGGGCAGGGATCCCGGCGCTACGGAAGGGGCTCGTCTTTTGGTGGTGGTGGTGGGGCGGCCCCATAAACAGGAGGTGCCGGTGCGAGCTCTGGAGCTTTAGCCTAAGCCGACGTTGAGCCTCCCAGGCGAGGCTGCGCGCAGCATCCACCGGGCTGCGGACTTCAGCGAGGGGGCGAAGGAGCCGGTGTGAGCAGAGCAGGGCTGCGTCGGGAACTCTGCACCAGGAGCAAAGTGAGCCCAGGGCCCGGGCGGCCCGGGCAGCGGTCGGTCGAGCAGGCACCCCACTGCACTGGTTTGTCAGAAACCGAAGAAGCAAACCCTTTAGCATTGGCGGCTGATTTTGGTGCCTTTGAAACGTGCAATATCTCCCTCCTCGCCCTGCTCCCTGTACCCTGCCACCTTGCCCCGGGGGCTGGGAGGTTACTCCTCTGAAAGCTGGACTCCAGGGAGACGAGTGGAAGGGTCGTGTCTGGGGAACTTGTGTGTGCTCACGTGCAAGCGCAGGGAATTAACCTGGGCCTGGACTGCGGCGGGAGGGTACACTGGGAGGGACGACGGGAGGTGGCGCAGAGACGCGCGGCGCGGGCTCGGCGGCCCGGGGCGGCCAGGCCCGCGCTCGGTTGCCTTCCCGGGAGGCGCGGGAGCGGGAGAGCATCTTCCCCGCAAACCTGCATCCGTAACCCGGCGCTCTCTTCTCAGCCGGGAGGGCAGAGCTGAGATGTGACGCCGCGGCTGCCTGCTGAGCGCGCAGAGGACCTTGAAGACTCGGCTCGCTCGGGCGGTGGCCAAGACTCTTTCTGCCCCGGGCGCCCGGGACCTCGGGGGCGAAAGCTTCTCGGTGAAGGAGCATTAGGGCAGCGTCTGCCAGGCAGCCTCGGCCGGAGCAGCAGGCAGCGCGCACGCTCCGCCCGGGGCGCCGGCGCCGGAGCGCGAGTTTGAGCCGCGGGCAGGTCTGCGCTCTCCCGCCGCGCCCGCTCGGCAGGTTCCCGGCTGCGGTTCCCGAGAGGGAGACTGACGTTATTGGGCGGTGGTGTCTCCATGCAGGAGAGAGGGTGTCCCCTACGGGGACAGGAAAGGAAACCAATAGAATCCAGCACCTGCTTGGCGCCTGTGTTAGCCGTTTCCCTTCGTTATCTTTTCCTTCTGCTACTGTTTCTAAACATTAGTAGCCGCTGCTAGTATTTTTTTCTAATTTATCACTTTATGTTGGTCGCATTCCTTATCTCCTGACTTCTCCTGACACACCTTGCAGTGTTTGCAGAGCAGATATGACCACCCCGAGCTTTAGATGAGGAAATAGAACCCTAAGAAACCACTTGGCCGGGTCCCCAAACTACTTCCTAGGTCTTTTTATCCATTATTCAGCTTTGCTACTAAATCGTGACCAACACTACCCCCCCCCCAACCCTTGTACGTTCGTAGAAGTACAGAAACAAAGCTTCTTCCCAGAGGTTTGTGAAATGGCTGTGAGAGCTTGCAGCTGTTCCAAGTGGAGGCCGGGAGGAGCCCATAGGGCTGTTGGAGGTATTCAGACCATTACAAATGATCTTAAATGACATCTATGTGATACAACCGCACTGGCGCATCTGTGTGCATAACTCTGCACCCCCAAACGGGGGCTGAATGTTCTATGTTGTTCATACAAACACAGGATATTCTCAAAACCTAACTGGGTCACAAAATATAGGTCAACACGGTTGAAAAGGCAGAAATCATATAGGGCCCATCACCCATCAAAATACAGTAACAACAACATCAACAAAAATCTCCCCGATAGAAGTAAACTGGAAAATTGAAGATGCTTTAAATCTGGGTTGAAAGGAGGCACCAGTGAGAACACTACAAACGCCTTAGTAACCAAAACCAAACCAAACCAAACCAAAACAGAACTCCTACATAACAAAATTAGGAGAGTAAAGAAAAACCAAACCACCCCCAACAGGGCACATCAAATGTATTTATCACATGACAACATACAAATTAAGAGACGTATGAAAAAATGCAAAAGATTTATATTAACTAATAAGATAACAGCAGAAATTAACAGAGTAGAGAAATAAGCCAAAACCAGAACACTTGATCAATGAAAGAAAATACTATTCTCTGGAAAGATCAAGAAACAAATCGTGAAAAGATTATGAAACAGAGAAGACACCAAAAGACCTTAGGAAGGAAAGATGGTAGATAACCCCTGAGACGGAGGATTTAAAAAAAACAAAACACCTCAATTGGTGATTTTTGCCCCATGAAGAGGAGTTTCCCTCCGTGCTCATTATCAGAACTTGTAAGATGACAATTGGTTAGCACCACAGTTTATGCAGAAGAGAGTAAGTTTGAAGAGCTGGGTAAAATGGTTTAGAATGTTAAGTATAAAGTGGTGAGATTGTATTAACTGAACATTTTGGTCTAGGCCTTTCACTGTCATTATCATAAAGCAGCTTTGCATAGCTATAGAACACGTACTACCAGAGTAGAAAACGTCTAGAAGCGGTAATGACTAGGGAGTCTGTTCCCTCAGGTTACCTGGGATGTTTGGAGACAGATACTGTAGGGAAGGGAAGGTGTGTATGGCCCAGAAAAGTTGCTGGGAATGTCTCTGGAGTCCAGAATACCAAGAAAGAGAAAGGAGCTGGCATGTAAATTCACTTACATGAGCCACACTCAGGCACCCAATCTGGTACGCACCTGTTGAAGATGATCTTACTCCTAGAAGATCACTTTTCAAGCATGGGGTGGGTCTTCCTCGGGCTTCCAAACCTGACCGTGGTGGCAGAGTAGGAAGAATGTGGACTTTGAAACCAAACAGCTCTGGGTTCAAGTCTCAGCTCTTTCTACTAACCAGTTCTATAGCCTGAGACAAATGACCTATTATCCCTACCCTTATTTTTCTCAATTACGAAATGAAAATAATATTGACTTCATAGCGTTCTTCTGAAAAGTAAGTGAAATACCGTTCACAAAGTACTTACTGTGTAGCTCCCCCAGGACACCCTTCCCCATTCTGCCTTTTGGGAACTTCTCTCTGTCCATTCTCATTTCTCCTATTTTGTCAGCAGAATTTTTCCCTCCTTCTGTTCCTGCCAAGTGACTCAGCCACCTACCCCATGATTCTTAAGCAATCAGAGAAATCCAAGCATCATTATCGAGTACCTTTGGGATGGTTAGGTAAGGCCTCCCTATATATAAAAGTAACACAGCCTCTCTTCTGTGAGGTGGCAAATGGCCAAATCAGGCCTGCCCCTCCTGCCTCCCTGCCTGCCCTTGTTACTCAAACATGTTTTTGAGTGCCTACGAAGTTATGCACGAGCGACTTTGCTTCCATGCGCCGATTCCTATTTAACAGAGATGTATGTTTGGGCTGAAGTGTTTCACTGGGGAAAGACCCTAAGCTATAAGCATTTAGAGTTTTATATTAGAAAAAAAAGCTGATATTAATACTAATCATGAATGAGAGTCAGCCGTTTGTTCTAAAAACTGGGAAAGCAGCGTTCTGTTAGGGGACTAATGTGGACGTACCCACTGATCATTAACAGAAGAGATTTAACATGATGGACACAACTTTTGCCCTTAAAAGGCTGCCCTCATCTTAGCAATAAAGAGACCCCAGGTGTAGCAATAAGACCAGCTTAACAGAAGGTTTTCTGTGGTGTCTCTTCTAAAGAAGCCTCGGAGGCTGTGCTCACAGGCAAGGTCTGTTCTGGTGTGGCCACGTCTTTTGGGCAAGGCAAGGAAGACAGTGGAAGGTCAACAGAGTGAAGAGAAAAGGATGAACCTTATTGGCCCCTGGCACCCTTGCTTATCAGCGCTTATCCTCTTCTATTGATATTATGGGGAGGAGGTAGAGAACAGTCATAGATGTGGTTATTTCAAAGTAAGTCCAGAAATTTCAGGCACATTTTATTTACTGCTCTCTGGTTCTCTGTCACAACATGCAAATTAACCTTTCTATATTTCTTCCAAACCCTGTTGTATCAGCACTGTTTATTTTCATGATGGCGTGAAGATTACCGCTCTCCCAGAGTGGAACTCTTCCTAACACTTGGTAGAATTCTAAAGGTATTCAAAGGGATTGCCCGGTGTTAAGGCCATCTGCAGGTGCTCAGCTCTGCTGAGTGATCAAGGAGCGAGGCACCTCCGTGCAGACAGCTAACTTCACCATGTTCTTGCTTAATGGTAATTAGATCCAGTAGCTTCAAACCGTCTGTGATTCCCCCATATAACCATATCCATAAATTCTTTATCCTGTAGGAAGTTGTGCTCCCTGTCCATCTAAAATTGCCTCCAGTTCACGCGTGCTATCACAGAGCAAGCACAATTACCAAATAAATACAGCACATCTTGTGGGGGTCTCAATTTTGTTAAGTGATTTGGAAGCCCCAAACCAAAGTATTGTATGTTTGACTGCTGTAAAACATCATGTTTGTATTTAACAGTTTTATATTATGGAATATTTGTTCATTTATTCTAGATACATCGTCTACACAGGCATGTTGCTAGGTACTTTGGTAGAGTATAAAGATCATCATAATTGTTATGGTAAAAAATGAGAATACAGAAACATTTTTCCCTCAGGAAACACAGAAGTTTCCTTTCTATAGGGGACTTGAGGATGCAGAGGACAATGAATCGTAGGGGTGTTGTTGGTGCAGCTTCTGGATTCCTGCCCTGTAGGATGGTCTTCTCAGGCAGAGGTCGCTGGACTCTAGAAAAAGCAGAGTCAACTAGCAAGTGGCAGAGGTGGACTGGAGCACGCAGGGGGCAAGCTCTGTGGCCAAGACGGAGGTTTGACGGTGGGAAACCACACAAACAGATCCACCTCGCCCTGCGGGGGAGAAAAGAACAGAGGGAGGAGAAAGCTGGTGTCTCCTATCCAGACACCCGTGTCCCTCCCTGGGACGGTCTCTGCAGCCTTTTCCTGGTTTTCTAACTAATGGTGTCGCCCCGTGGTTCCCTGCCTTTTTCTCTTCATGCTGGGTATTTTGCATTCTCCTTTTTTGGGGGCCAGCACTGTGCTTCCCACAGTCCCTGGTGGGGTCCTGTGCGTGTCCTCTGTCCTGCATTGTGGTGTTCACCACAATACACACCTACATCACAGGCACCTCCAATATGGGTGTTGCTTTCAAGCTAATTTGTAAATCAGCTGAATCATCATGATCACCTTCTTATTAAACAGTACGAGAAATGTTAGGCTGGGGAGGACTGCAAACTGCACAGTCTTCTCAAACTGGCTGCCGCCAACCCATGATGGTCCAGAAGTTCTGCTCTGTCTGTTCCTTCTCTTTCATTCTCTCCTCTCCAAATCTAGTGGAGCCAGAAGCAGCCAAAAAGGGCAGGCAAGGAGGTTCCCAGCTTATTACAAAGGACACAGATGAAGAGATGTGTAGGGTCAGGTGTGGGAGGGGCCCCTTCTTGGGTGCACCGCCCTGTGGGAACCTCCCCGTGTTCAGATTCTCTGCAAGTTCCTACAAAAGTGTTCTGAGCCTGAGAAGGCTGCTTCTATATCCTGGTGAAAGCATTTTGCTGGAGAATGGAAGAACCTGCATTTTCCTGCTGAAACAGGGATTCTCATTTGAATCTATTGTCTGAATGTTTTACCGTGGAGCCCATGGTTTCCTCCCTTCTCCATCCCTCCTCCAGCGGTGCAGCCACAGGACTCACAACTTGCCTGGTGGGG